AAGTGTGTTTTAGTTGCCCACTGATGTGACGGGGTGTGGCATCTACCAGCTTGTCAAAATATCTTGTCGGTGATCGGCTCATAACAGAGCGCTGCCTTGCCTTAGAGAGCCGAAAAAGTGCCTGGGTACATTATGTAGAGTGACCGCTGACCATCCCATTGATTATTACTTTTTTAACATAATTTTGAGTTTTAAGAACTCATCATCATGCTAATTTAATTCGGTTAGAATGAAACCAAAAATTAGTCACATTCGCAAACACAACCGCACATACAAATAAATATGGTTGTACTGAACATTTTGACCCGCAATGTACACAATTAGAATGCTGTTGGTAAGATTGACAGCCATATGTAATCCACCAGAAATAAACATAATAAACATATTTTTCAATTTATTAATGTTTCACTCCTTATTAACATAAAAACACTAAATACTTATTACAGCTGGAATGTTTTCCAATAGTTTGAATATAAATATTTTATTTTACAGATCAATTTTTATTTCGACATATATTCAAGCTGCAAATTTGTGGCATCAATTTATAAGTTTTTGAAGGCGTATATATTTAATCGAAGCAAAATGTGTAATTTCACCATAAAACTAGATGCGTTTGAAAAAAAAGACTAGTTATCAATATTTTAAAGTAATTAATATCATACTTTTATTCAATGACTTTTTCTACGATTGTCATCTCTGATTTTGCAGTCTGAATAAAAACATCAGTTTGCTTTTTCCGCATCACCTCACAAAAATATCCTATTCATTTATGTGGTTAACTTGAATGTCATTTACATGTATACGAAAACATCACAGTACAGTTTTAAATATTTCAGTGAAACATTGCAGTTAAGTCAGTCAAAACCTCATTTAAAACTTGTGTCATTCAAATATCATGTTACATGCACCTTATTTGCAACACCTTATGCCACAAACATAAGTTGCAAAGAGACTCCACCTTCTGCGCTTTTTAAGGTACAATGAAGTTTTATATGCGGTGCGTTGTCCCTAATTTAGACCGTCTATTAGTCACACTAAGGTTGTTGTTACTCGCTGAGAAACAAGTGGTGTTGCTTGGGCCAGGTGTGAGAGCTGCCTCCCTGGCGTCGGTATCATTGGTGCTTAGCACGGAAAACAAAACGAAAGGAAAAAAAGACTACCATGCGTCTCCACTGATACACAGCCTAATCGCATGGGATTATTCAACGAAAACCCAAATCTTGATAACTTATAAAAATATATAACTCAAAAACAAACAAAAAATGACTGATTTTCAATGAAAAATATAAAACATATTGCGCCCTCTGTTAACAAACCATGACAACCATAAAAAAATCAAATACAATTAATGTTTTTCAATACAAAATCCCATTTTTATAATTTTTTTCTTATTTACAAATTATTTTTAATAATTTTTTTTGGCATTTTGAACTTTTAAGTTCATTAATTAATAATTTAAAAAAAGGCATTTTCGAAAAAAAAAATCAATTTTTCGCACCACCCTAGCATGAAAATGGTCATCTTATGGGTCTAATATTTTGGGATACGGAACAAAACTACCAGTTTTTACGAAATTCTGCAAGCCAGTATATTGTTTTTCTATGGAATTTACAAAATTATTTACAAAATATTCGGAGGCCACATTATAGAACCTGTTCATGTCACGAAATATTGCAAATTCTGCGTACTTTTCATGCAAATCTGAAATAGTATAAAACAGCAAAAAAGGTTATCTTCCATTTAATTCCACTTAATTAATTTTGGTATCCATGACAGATACGTATTTCGACTACAATGTGCAGTCTTCATCAGTGTCATTCCCACTAAAGAACTTATCAAAATCTAACCCCCTTAAGTACTCATCCCCTAGGTAAAAAAGTCAAGATCATAGGTATAAAAATGAAACTACAATGTGTTGAATCGGAACCTACCTAACTAATAAAAACCAAAGATTTAAGTAAGCTAAAGGAGAAAAATCTATACAACTCTCTAATAAGGAAAATCCCCAAAGGCTTGGTAGCCATCATAATGAAGTAATGAAATTGGGTTGTTAGCGGAATGCCTTTTTTACCTAGGGGATGAGTACTTAAGGGGGTTAGATTTTGATAAGTTCTTTAGTGGGAATGACACTGATGAAGACTGCACATTGTAGTCGAAATACGTATCTGTCATGGATACCAAAATTAATTAAGTGGAATTAAATGGAAGATAACCTTTTTTGCTGTTTTATTTAGCATTCCGCTAACAACCCAATTTCATTACTTCATTATGATGGCTACCAAGCCTTTGGGGATTTTCCTTATTAGAGAGTTGTATAGATTTTTCTCCTTTAGCTTACTTAAATCTTTGGTTTTTATTAGTTAGGTAGGTTCCGATTCAACACATTGTAGTTTCATTTTTATACCTATGATCTTGACTTTTTTACCTAGGGGATGAGTACTTAAGGGGGTTAGATTTTGATAAGTTCTTTAGTGGGAATGACACTGATGAAGACTGCACATTGTAGTCGAAATACGTATCTGTCATGGATACCAAAATTAATTAAGTGGAATTAAATGGAAGATAACCTTTTTTGCTGTTTTATTTAGCATTCCGCTAACAACCCAATTTCATTACTTCATTATGATGGCTACCAAGCCTTTGGGGATTTTCCTTATTAGAGAGTTGTATAGATTTTTCTCCTTTAGCTTACTTAAATCTTTGGTTTTTATTAGTTAGGTAGGTTCCGATTCAACACATTGTAGTTTCATTTTTATACCTATGATCTTGACTTTTTTACCTAGGGGATGAGTACTTAAGGGGGTTAGATTTTGATAAGTTCTTTAGTGGGAATGACACTGATGAAGACTGCACATTGTAGTCGAAATACGTATCTGTCATGGATACCAAAATTAATTAAGTGGAATTAAATGGAAGATAACCTTTTTTGCTGTTTTATTTAGCATTCCGCTAACAACCCAATTTCATTACTTCATTATGATGGCTACCAAGCCTTTGGGGATTTTCCTTATTAGAGAGTTGTATAGATTTTTCTCCTTTAGCTTACTTAAATCTTTGGTTTTTATTAGTTAGGTAGGTTCCGATTCAACACATTGTAGTTTCATTTTTATACCTATGATCTTGACTTTTTTACCTAGGGGATGAGTACTTAAGGGGGTTAGATTTTGATAAGTTCTTTAGTGGGAATGACACTGATGAAGACTGCACATTGTAGTCGAAATACGTATCTGTCATGGATACCAAAATTAATTAAGTGGAATTAAATGGAAGATAAGCTTTTTTGCTGTTTTATTTAGCATTCCGCTAACAACCCAATTTCATTACTTCATTATGATGGCTACCAAGCCTTTGGGGATTTTCCTTATTAGAGAGTTGTATAGATTTTTCTCCTTTAGCTTACTTAAATCTTTGTTTTTTATTAGTTAGGTAGGTTCCGATTCAACACATTGTAGTTTCATTTTTATACCTATGATCTTGACTTTTTTACCTAGGGGATGAGTACTTAAGGGGGTTAGATTTTGATAAGTTCTTTAGTGGGAATGACACTGATGAAGACTGCACATTGTAGTCGAAATACGTATCTGTCATGGATACCAAAATTAATTAAGTGGAATTAAATGGAAGATAACCTTTTTTGCTGTTTTATTTAGCATTCCGCTAACAACCCAATTTCATTACTTCATTATGATGGCTACCAAGCCTTTGGGGATTTTCCTTATTAGAGAGTTGTATAGATTTTTCTCCTTTAGCTTACTTAAATCTTTGGTTTTTATTAGTTAGGTAGGTTCCGATTCAACACATTGTAGTTTCATTTTTATACCTATGATCTTGACTTTTTTACCTAGGGGATGAGTACTTAAGGGGGTTAGATTTTGATAAGTTCTTTAGTGGGAATGACACTGATGAAGACTGCACATTGTAGTCGAAATACGTATCTGTCATGGATACCAAAATTAATTAAGTGGAATTAAATGGAAGATAACCTTTTTTGCTGTTTTATTTAGCATTCCGCTAACAACCCAATTTCATTACTTCATTATGATGGCTACCAAGCCTTTGGGGATTTTCCTTATTAGAGAGTTGTATAGATTTTTCTCCTTTAGCTTACTTAAATCTTTGGTTTTTATTAGTTAGGTAGGTTCCGATTCAACACATTGTAGTTTCATTTTTATACCTATGATCTTGACTTTTTTACCTAGGGGATGAGTACTTAAGGGGGTTAGATTTTGATAAGTTCTTTAGTGGGAATGACACTGATGAAGACTGCACATTGTAGTCGAAATACGTATCTGTCATGGATACCAAAATTAATTAAGTGGAATTAAATGGAAGATAACCTTTTTTGCTGTTTTATTTAGCATTCCGCTAACAACCCAATTTCATTACTTCATTATGATGGCTACCAAGCCTTTGGGGATTTTCCTTATTAGAGAGTTGTATAGATTTTTCTCCTTTAGCTTACTTAAATCTTTGGTTTTTATTAGTTAGGTAGGTTCCGATTCAACACATTGTAGTTTCATTTTTATACCTATGATCTTGACTTTTTTACCTAGGGGATGAGTACTTAAGGGGGTTAGATTTTGATAAGTTCTTTAGTGGGAATGACACTGATGAAGACTGCACATTGTAGTCGAAATACGTATCTGTCATGGATACCAAAATTAATTAAGTGGAATTAAATGGAAGATAACCTTTTTTGCTGTTTTATTTAGCATTCCGCTAACAACCCAATTTCATTACTTCATTATGAAATAGTATCTTACATTTCCCGGTTGAGTGAACTATTGTATTCATATTTAGAAGTGACAAAACTTAATCGAGCTAATATTCGAAAAATTTGAAAGCTCCATTGATGAAGTTCCATCAGAAGCTGTGTCGCTTAATTCATACGTGGGATACTCTAGAGAATTATAGTTAACCACCCACGGTCCCCGTTCGGTCTGGCAATGAACCTTCTGCAAACCCCTCTCAATTAACTGTTTTGTCTTTCCTTTTTCCAGCATCTATCACTTTAATCGCGTGCAGCGTCCACTGTACAATACCACACATCGCGCACCGGCCCTCTGCAATGGGCCCTCCACGATCAGTACGACTCCGTTCGGGAGCAACACCATCTACCAGAACTTCAACCCATCGACGGTGGGCAGTTTCAGCAGTGTGGCAACCACCCCTAGCCTCTCGACGACGACCACTCCGGCCCCGGCTGGCGCCGGGCAGCAACACGGTTCCGGCAGCGGCGGCGGGACAGCTCCAACATCGACCTCAACACCGACTAAACAATTGGCATTCACGACGCGGAACCGCATCGAGGTAGCCTCCGAGCAAGGTTCGATGCCCAACAGCAACAACAGCAAGAACAACCACCTGAGCCAGGCTGTGATAGAGTGCGAGCGGAACGACTTTCTGGTGAGTAGGTTTGCCATTCTTTCGATTTGTAGCAAATGTTTATAATTAACCTCAAGAGAAGTTTGGAAAAAAAAGTAAACCGCATCCAATTTGAGTAGAGGAGAAAAAAAAAGTGTGCTGGTGAGGTCACCGGACACGGAATGTCTCGTTGGTTAGTGCTAGAAACGTTATCACCCGCCTAGGGGTTTGGTGGCAGGGGGTGTTTGTGTACAATGCCAATGAATAACGGTCGTCCCACGTGCAACGAGAAACGGGAAACGCCTTCGACGCTGCTGCTTGGATAACTGGCGCTAGTTGGAGCGGACTTGAACACACCCAATTGGGTGCTTGGGTGGATGTTTGTACAAACTGGAATGTATGTGTGCATGTTTGCTGGTGCTGGGGTGTTCCGTTGACCTTCGCATGTGCGACTTTTGCGATGTGCGACATCGCCGCCACCGTCGTTGTCACATGAGCTATTAGAATGGGTATCACGAGCTATTTGCATACATCGGGTGGGGTGTTAAAGGATGAGGAAACGGTGCTCAGAATTAGAGCAATGTGCGAAACATGTTGAAGAAATGGCTGTCAAAAAGCAATTAAAAGTTGGAAACTTTAATGGAAAGCATTATTATTGTTCATGAAGGTTTTCGACGATAATTCGATATGGACAGTTTTCCCGAACGAAATCCATCTTCAAGCACATCGTCTGGCATCGTCTGTGATCTGTTAGTGGGTGGTCGCCACGCTGCCAACGTCTATCAAACCTGAGGGTGTCACTCGTGTGGTTGATTTTCCGCGGGAAATTGCGTTTGACTTTTTACATCCTACATAGTGAGAGGATTAAATCGGAACCAGGAACCCGCTGTCGACTATGAAACTAGTCAACTTTCTCCTGGTTGTTTGCCGCTGCTAATGTACAGCTCGGAACATCCTACATCCTTCTTCGCGGAGGCGCATCGCACTACACATTAATGGTATTATAGGATACGGATACTCCCGGTGCTTGTATAGAGCCTATGTAAACAATAAAACAGTGCCGAAAAACATCATGAAGATCCTGAGAGCTGCACTTAACTGCGAACGATGAACAGTTGAAACTGTTGACAACCAAACGCCCTACATTCGATATAAGACTGAGGCGGAGTCCTGAGTGGGTAGATTCAAGATGGAAATCTAATCAGCAGCGTTAAGATGATTTCGACGGAAAGATCATTAATTTAAGGTTTACCCGTGTCGTGTCGATGGATGGCAAGCACCATTGATAGAGTGCTTGTGCGTGATTGGCCTGTCGAAGTAGGATGGATGGCTTGGGATGCGGTTCGTTATGCAGGAATGAATAATGAATTTATTTATTTTGAACTTTGATAGCAAATGTGAAATGTCAAATACAGAAAGGTTGAAAAATGATAGCAGTTATTTCGGGATTCACAAGAACTGAGAGCAACACTTGTAACAATACCTTTTTAATTGGATACAAATTTCTTTTAAAATTGAACACTCAACACTCTCAAATTGATCAAATTTTCTTAAAATTGTGTGGTATGATGTAACGTTGTATATCTGTTTTGATAAGTTTTCATATGTATACGGTGTATTTGTTTAGGATAGGTTTCCAATCAAAGGTATACCCTAATTTCAACGCCTCTTTTCCAATGCAATTTCAAATATATATCAACACTAGGCTTCAATTTATAGAATAAAGTTGTGTTTCGGATGAAATGGAAAAGCCATCTTGCAAAAACGAACATTCTAGAATTTGATAGAAATTTCAAATGTCATTAGCAGTCATTGGCCATTTACTCTAAAAAACGAGGACTCTCCTCGTTCACTTAAAGTTCATAGTGGCTGGTGAGCAAACGTAGAATAGACAAACTCTTTTTCGAATCTGTGATCTCCGTTTTAGTTTCAATTAAGTTGTGACTTAAAAATGTAGTAAAATGAACCTTGACCAGTGTAGGTAAAAATACCAAGAAGGTGCTTTTCTGCTCCGTGCAGTTTGTTGAAAAAAACATAGATAATTTTGGACAGTTAATAATTTAAATTATTTTTTTACTAAAATGACTCTTTTGCGTTGGACAAGCAACGCTGGTCCGTATTTTTTAAATTCTTTATTTGTTCCAAATTCAAAATAAAGAACATTTCATTTTAACCCAGGTGCTCCAGCTACTACAGTAAACCAGCCTTAATTGTTATGATATAGGAGAAATGGCTCTAATGTTGGCCAATGGATCTAACATTGGGCCCATCACTAAAAATCTGCTATTTATAAATTTTGTCTAGACAATACCATTAACTAGGAAATGAAAAACGGGGGGCTTCACAATGGAGCTAATAAATAACGTACTCTTGATTTGTTGCTATGGGCAAAAGTGATGTTGGTAAGGAAACATTTCAATTATTTATGGTTCAAATTAGTGTGTTACTCGGAAAAAAGTATTGAAGTATTTTTTGCAAGAATATCTTAGAGGCATGATTTGATCTACAGAACAATTAGAGATCTGCAGAATAATAACTTCTCAACCATATGGATTACCAAAAATCTCTGAGAACATTATGCAGGTAATTGATGAATTGAAGCATTATTTTCAAAAGTTTTGCTCCTCAGGGCAGATAAACGCCCTTTAAATTGTTTTTGCAAATCCCGCCAGATAACTTTCATGGCAGGATCTCGTGTTCTTTGATAATGTCTCCAACGGACATTTTTCAGACAGATCAAGAACTGAAGATCGCCGTCCATTATAATTGAATCAAATTTCACCTCGCATTTTGGTACTGAGGCAGCTCTTGCTTGAACTATAGACGTAGTCAGAGATTCAAGAGCATATTTAACATCATCTTTGTTTATATTTAATAAATGTTTGATATTGCTCCCAATTAGCTATATGATAAAATGAAAGTAGAGCTGTTGGGATTAGAAATTATTTGTTGGGATATTTCAAAAGTTACTGGAAAGTGATCAGAACCGAAGTCAAAATGGGTAACCAATTGGCTACAAAGTTGACATGAATCAATTAAGACCAAATCAATAGTTGAGGAATTTTTGGATATTAATATTAGATATTGAATAGTGTAATGACCGGAAGAACACTCATTAAACATAATATTTCCAATGGAATTGCTTTCAGAATAATTCCATGAGTGGTGTTTTTCATTAAAATCACGGGTAAGTTTCTGAAGGCCATCTTTGAAAAAAATCTTTTGCTGGCCTACGCATTGGAATGGCAAATAGACAGCTATAAACTTAAGTTTTCCAAATTTTGTTTCGACAGAAACTCCCAAAGTTTCAAAAACTTTGGGTTTTAACGAAGAAAGAATTTGATGTTTGATACGTCGTTGAACAATGATGGCAACGCCACCACAGGCTCCATCAAGATGATAATTTCGTTAAATGAAATAAGTTGCGTCCCTTTTAACCTTATTGTCAGGTTTAAGGAACGTTTCAGATATAACGGCTCATTATCTTTAAGAGATCGAGCATTCCAATTCAAAACATGCCATGACGATATTATTCGCAAATTTAATTCCAGCTTGAATGGCATCACACATGCAGCTAGTTTTCAGAATATTCAGAAATTCCATTACTGCTCCTAAACTAAGTCAAAATTATCAAAATTTCCGTTATAATTATGTTTGCTAGAATTGTGATTTCCACCAGCTGCAACAGCAGCATAGGTAGCTCCATTTACTCGCTGAACATTGTAAGCAGCGAGGGGAACAGGTATAGATGAATAATTTGAAGTATGGTTGATGTTTGTACGGACGGGCACAAATGTAGAATTTGTTCCTCGCTGACCGTTGTTAACAGCAGAGGAATTTGTACCTGATCGGGAACGTGAAGCGTTTCCTACCTGTCCAACGAGATTGTAGGATCGCTTTGCGAGTCTTACATTCCCAAAAATTGAATTTGGGGTTTTCACCACAATTTAAACATTTTTTTTGGATCTTCTTTCACAGGAAGTCGTCCTTTGTGTGAGAGGAATCACCACAGTTCATGCATTTATCTGGCATGTAGCAATGATTGGTCCCGTGACCCCATCCGTGCCACTTATGGCACTGGGTGAGGTGTTCCCACTTCACTTGGACATGGAGCATAAGACTAGCTTTTTCTAAGGCCTGAAGGTTGTTTAGTTCACTAGACTTGAAATGAACTAAATAAAAATTATTAGAAATCCCGTTTCGCGAATCGCCAGGACGAGTTTTCATTTTCATTTTGATTACCTGTATTGGTTCAACTCCAAGTAATTTTTTCAATTCATCTTTGATCTCATCCAGGCATTCACCACTGGGCAAACCTTTCAAGACAACCTTGAACAGACGTTCAGTGTTGGTGTCGTAAGTAAAAAATGTGTGTTGCTTCTCAGTAAGGTACTTGAGAAAACGTTTGAATCCGTCGAATCCGTCTAAGGTTTCCAGCCAATACACGGAATTCACCACAACGGCATTTAATCAAAAGGGGGATCAAGAGATTGCCCTTTTCTTTTGCGGTTAGGCGCCATGGCGGCAGTAAAACGTTTCTCCAAATCGATTTCCAAGCAGATTACTATAAGAAGCCAAAGGATCGAAGAGGAATTTTTCAAGTCGATGTCCAAGCAGGATTACCTTGGGTAGGGTCCAATCAAGGATCGAAGAGGAATAAGAGTCAAAAAATGTAAACATTTTATAGCTTATATTGAGTAATGAAAAGTGCTGTTTGAATTTGTTGTAGCGTTAGGTAGCAGTAACACTTCCTTCAGCAAAAAGAAAATAGATCCGCACTGTAAGAGAGCACTTCATCGCTCGTATGCTCGTTTTGTTTTCGGAGGAAGCCAGAAGCACTAATTTTATACAAAAATACATGACGAAAATAAGAAAAGAAAGCATGGATCATCTTCCATTGGACACCGTGATCTAATTTATGCAGATAAAGAAGGTTGAATAACCATTAATATTTTTTAGGTATAAGTTAATTCCCACAAGAAGTTACTTTTACCTTCTCTGGAAGCTGGTTCTGTTTCAATTAGTTTTCAAAAAAAAAACAT